TTGACGATGGAGATTAGGTAGCAGTCTTAGTAGAATGGGGTTAATAGCCCAACCAAATTTGAGGAAAAAAAATTGAGTAGAAGAATAAGAAGCTAATCAAGAGGAAAATGCATAGAAACAGAACATGTAAACCAATAATTAATGAGGCTTGAAGATCAACAATGCTACCCTTATACCAATAACAGCTTTATTGAGATATTATCATGCTTCAGCAGACTGCAAGCATCAGTCAGTAAAGGAACATACAAGCCAACAATAAAATTAAATTAAGTTTACAGTAGCCAAAAGAATGAAGAGCTTTTAAGAAACATATACATATAGAATCCCACCATAAAAAGTTAAAATAGCATCTTGTAATAGTGTTTATTTGAAAGCAGATTTTAAAATAATCTATATTTGGCAAATACCCAAGAAATCAGGATGTACCTATAGAATTCATGATAAGATTAAGGAAACAGTTTGAAAGCATAGTGTGGGATTCTTGGGAAGACAAAGAGAATCCCAAGAGAGATGTGGAATGCAAAAATATTTTAAAGCTAAAACCGGATTTGTAAAAAGGGAAGTGAAAAATAGAAATGTATAATAGTTTAACTTATGTCCCAAATATGACACCAACTATAAGGACTCTTTCTAAATAGAATCATCTGTAGGATATAATAGAGGGGCTTTTTGGAATGTTATTATCTAAATATTGTATGTCCAAAAATAATAAAAATATGCATTATTAATAAAAGGCAATATAACATCTACTTCTGGTAGAGTTCTGAGCTGTGATATATTCTTCTGAAAAGAATATTTTGTTTTAGGCAGAATGATAGAAGAGATTAGAAAGGACACTGTTAATATATTAGAGAAAAGTAAAAATGAGAAAAGTGACATTGTATCAATTCAAGTAACTGTCATTAGTATATTCTTGCAGCAAAGTAGCAATAACTGAAAGACTCCATGGAGACAGAAACTGGTCTTTCCATAGCATCTCACTGATTTTTAAGCCATTTATTGCTAATAATTCCTAGAAAATCTAATTGTAATTTATTCAAAATACAATGGTACAAGCCATAAATAGAAACCTAAATACCTACACTAATTGAATGTTTCATTTTTACAACAAATTCTTGTATTCGCTCCATTATCTATGCTGCGATGAATGGGGGGGGGGGATTTTCAAAATAGTCATAAAATTATCTTTGCAAGGCTATAATAGTTTTTCTACATTTAGTACTGATTACTATATTGAAAACTACTTAAAAATGTAAGCAAAGCAATTGCACTGTCAGTCATCTGTCTTCTATAGTTTCTCTCCATTCTGTCATCCAGCAGTCAACATGCTCCAGGTCCCATCCATTAAACAGTGTTATCTGATGGGACCTAAGAAATATGCCTTTTTTGTTGCAGCATCCGGTTTCTGGAACAACATCATCCCAGAAATTGATGATTGATTTGTCCCCACCATGACCTTATTTAAGAACTCCTTAAAACATGCCTCATTGCCCAGGCTTGGTGTTGGCAATTGGACCCCTTATGATTAAAATGGTTCTTGTTAGATATTGTTGGAAGATTTTATCTCAGTGCCTGTTGCTCTTTTGTCTGGGCCACCCTCACCACCCCCTAAGGCCCTCTGGAGGCAGGAAACAGCCTATTTCCCTACTTCTGGTGGGCCCAGAAGGCCCGGAAATCAGCTGGCTGAGCTGAGCTCGCATGCCCACTGGCTATGGCTATGCGTGCCACCTGTGGCATGCGTGCCATAGGTTCGCCTCACGGGTGTATACCATCTAGTATCAGATATCAGGCAGCCTAAATAAATATTTAATTGTTTTAATAGTGTATACCAGTGATGGCTAACCTTTTTGCCATCGCGTGCCAAGAGGACGGGGCATGGGGGGGTTGTGCACATATGTGCCCACACCTATAATTCTACACGTCCCACCCCGCCCATGCGGATGCACCCACCACCCCCGCTCACCCTGCTCCTGGCACGCGATGGTCCAGTAGGCCCGTTTTTCTCTCTTACCTGGCTCCAGAGCCTTTCTAGCAGTCCCCGGAGGACCATTTTTGCCTCCCCAGACTCCTAGAGAGGCTCTGGAGGCTGGGGACAGCAAAAAATGGGCCACCCCCACCACCCCCTGAGGCCCTCCGGAGGCAGGAAACAGCCTATTTCCCTACTTCTGGTGGGCCCAGAAGGCCCGAAAATCAGCTGGCTGAGCTGAGCTCGCATGCCCACTGGCTATGGCTATGCATGCCACCTGTGGCACGCATGCCATAGGTTCGCCTCACGGGTGTATACCATCTAGCATCAGATATCGGGCAGCCTAAATAAATAAAGGGCTTGGGATAGAAGTGGTTATTATTTAATTTATCTTTTATTCCTTTATCCTTATATCCTTTATTCTTAATAAAGGAGCCGTGGTGGCACAGTGGTTAGAATGCAGTGTTGCAAGCTAATGTTCAATCCTGACTGACTCAAGGTTGACTCAGCCTTCCTTTCTTCTGAGGTTGGTAAAATGAGGACCCAGATTGTTGTGGGCAATATGGTGACTTGGTAAACTGCTTAGAGAGAGATGTGAAGCACTATCAAGCAGTATATAAGTCTAATTGCTATTGCTATTAAGAATGATATATTTATTTAGTTATTTAGTGAGTTCTGGAATAAATTCCCTTCTTATTATTGCCCTTACTGTATTAACCTTTGTGTATCAACCTATAATCATATGATTTATATAAATGGATGTTATATAAATCACTGTATATTCCAACTGGAAAAAAGCTAGACTAGCTAGAACTTAAAGACTTTTTAAAATCCTGTGATGCATAAAAGCAAAATTCTAGGCCATCAAGTTCAAGATCTTAAACTAGATCTTTATTAAATTAAAAATCCTCTTGTTACAAGATTGTTCTAAAATACCCAGAAATTTCTGTCTGCAATAAAAGATAGGCAGCAGTTATTTTTCAGAATGATAGAGAAGAATCCATATAAATCTGGGCATTTCTGTATGCGTGTGTGAAAAATTAATAAGACTGCATCTTGTCCTCTCCTTCCAAATCCATCACTTTCCTTTTTCTCATTTCTTTCTCAATATGATTGGCCTATTGCTGATACAACTATACAGTATATATAAAATTCCCAGTTCTTTTCAGACATTTTCCAATCACATAACATTTCTGAGCTAACAATTTCTATAACCATGAATGCTCACCAACTCTGGCATACTTGAAATTGTTGTTTGAAACTGGAACATTTTGTAAACTCCCTATGTGTAACACTTAGGAAACTGTTAAAATGCTACAAAAAACATATCCAGCACTAACACTATATTACTTCTACAAAACAAGATATTCTATTATTCCTTTAAGTATTACTAGGATAAGAAGAATGTCCTTTTATTTATTTATAAAATTTATAGGCCGATCATTTTAACCTCAACTCTTGTAGTCCTTAACAGCTACAGTTGTTACCGTTTTCAAAAAGTGTAAATATTTTACTTTTAAAAAGGGATGTATAAAACCCACTGACCCCAAAATGTAACAATCATAACCAAAAATTATATAAACTTGTCTTTTCTCTCCAAAGCAATCACCCCATACTTATAACATGGGTTTCCAACCTTTTGACTTGCCTAGGGTACAAGAGGAATTTTCTTGGGCCACATATAAATATATATATAGTATAGTTAATGTATATAAATCATATAATGGGCACCCCAACGATGCCCTGGAAGTGATGTCCCAGTGCCTGGAGGCCGTGCGGGCCTGGATGGGGAGAAACAGGTTCCGACTCAACCCTTCCAAGACCGAGTGGCTGTGGCTTCCGGCGTCCCAATATAGCCAGCTGGTGCCATCGCTGGCTACTGGGGGCGAATCACTGGCCCCCACGGAGAGGGCTCGCAACTTAGGCGTCCTCCTGGATGCCCGGCTGTCTTTAGAAGAGCACATGATGGCCGTGGCCAGGGGGGCTTTTTATCAGGTTCGCCTGATACGCCAGTTGCGTCCCTTTCTGGATTGGGACTCCCTACGCACGGTCACTCAAGCACTCGTCACTTCCCGCCTGGACTACTGCAATGCTCTCTACATGGGGCTCCCCTTGGGGTGCACCCGGAGGCTGCAGTTAGTCCAGAATGCTGCCGCACGGGGGATTATGGGAGCGACGGGGTGCTCACATATGACAACTCTCCTGCGCGAGCTGCACTGGCTTCCTGTGGTCTTCCAGGTGCGCTTCAAGGTGTTGGTGACCACCTTTAAAATGCTCCATGGCTTAGGGCTGGGGTATCTGCGAGACCTCCTTCTGCCGCCAATAGCCTCCCACTGACCAGTTCGCTTGCACAGAGAGGGCCTCCTCAGTGTGCCGTCGGCCAGACAGTGCCGGCTGGCGACCCCCAGGGGGAGAGCCTTCTCTGTGGCAGCACCTGCCCTCTGGAATGACCTACCCCATGAGAGTCGCACGATATCAGACCTCCGGACTTTTCATCGGGCCCTGAAAACACACTTATTCCATCTAGCCGGGCTGGCTTGACCCCATCCTCTCAGTTTTAATTGAATTCGGTTTTAATTGGGTTGTTTTAAATCTTGGGCCGAAATTATTTAATTGTTTTTTAAACTGTTTTTAAATTTTATATGCAATGTTTGATCTCAGCTGTACACCGCCCTGAGTCCCGTAGGAGAAGGGCAGTATAGAAATAAAATAAATTAATTAAATAATTAAATAATTAAATAATTAAATAAATAAATAAATAAATAAATAAATAAATAATGTTAAAAGTTTATTATCTTGTGGGGCTGCATGTGGCTGTGAGCTGGATACACCCACTTTAGAAATTAAATTCAAAATAATGCAAAGATATACAAGACTCCCCTGTTCAGAAACTTCTTGATGCTACTTGTATAATAAAAAAGACTTCACAGTTCCAGTAAAGGCCAAACCCCTCCCCCCTCCCCCACCAATGGCACAATGTTAATTAAGAACAGGCAACCCAGTGTGAAAACCATGTTTTCAATTTCATACTTACCATGAGAGTTTCCACAGCTTTCTTCATCGCTGTTGTCCTGGCAGTTATTTTGATTGTCGCACATAAAGCTTTTATCAATGCACAGGCCGTTCCTACAGTGAAATCGGTCAGTAGAACACAGCAAAGGATTTGCTGCTGTGGAAACAAAAGCATATTTTATTCAAACTTGCAATATCGCTTTGATAGACATTATTCCCAAGAGTACTTCTGTGCCATCTGTGCTTTAAATTTTTAGCTGAGTCTTTTCTTTCCTCTGAACACTGTAGTGAGCCCAGTATCACAGTTTAGAAGCAGATGAATTGTGAGAGGGACAGTTTAATTTGGCTCATGTATTAGTGAATCAAAGATAGAAAATGTAGATAGAAAAGGATTTATAAAGGATTTGGCCAATGAAGTATTTCTCTGAAAAGACAGAAAGGTAATTTGACAGAAAGCAACCTCCTACTTAACCCTAACTTTAACCACAGTTTCTAGTGCTATTTTATCAGTGGAACTCCAAGCCAGAAAGACTAATAAATTTAAGAGCATTAGCATAAATTCCTTGTTTTGACCTCTGGAAAGTGACACAGAAGTTAAGAAAATACTGAACAAAGGATACTGTGTAAGTGCATACATGTATACAAATGTATAAGAGTATAAAAGGAGGAAGATGCTGAAGGTGCAGGTGCTATTTGACATTAATAGCACACCTCCTTTTTACTTGCACATGATTCAGACAGAAATTATTTTACAAACTTTGATGTAGAAATGTGTCAATGAGTTGAATGTGTAAATGATGTGTGATGCTAAATCTGTAACCTCTAGAAATGGATGTCTTAAATTGTATTAGATTGTGATTTAGTAAAAGGAAAGGTACTTTTTGTCTCTAAAAATGATTTAAAAATAAATGCTATGGTTATAAGACTTCAGAAAGATGAATGCCTCCAAGAAAGAATTGTATGGTGATGTATTTCAAAAATCCAAGGCATGTTTGATAACTATTAAACCAAAGTCTTAGCTAAAACAGGCATATATAAAAGGAATTTTAAATATAGAACAATCTCCTACTGAAAAATGGGAAATTATGCACCCATTCCAACTATATGTGGAGAACCATATATTATATTCTTCTATACTAGTTTAATTCTGCTTTAAAACAGTCCAAAGGCTGAATTTCTACTAGTGTTTTCTTTTGTATATAGGCACATATCCATTCATACGACTTTCTCCTAGGATGAGAGCATTTCAGCTATTCAAAGGGCTACAAAGATGTGTGTATGTGCACACCTTCAAGTCAGTCTTGACTCCTGGTGACAGCCTTGATAAGTCCCTCATTTTCTTGGCAAGATTTTGGAAATATTTTACCATTATCTCCTTCCTAGGTTGAGAAGGTATGATTGGTCCAAAGTCAGCCAATCTCAGGTCTCTGTTTCTAGGCTGATATCTTAACAACTACACCAAACTGGCCTTTCAGAAAGATATGTACAGCAGTGGTTAACAGCCACTGTTCTCTTCTACTCACTTGATCCTAATAAAGAGCTACTCTCCAAGCTTACAGTACAGTTATCTGTATAGTAGTTATCAAGTACAGTTATCTGTAATGGGGATCCTAATTGTACATGTGATTGCTTCCATATTGAATATAAGCAATATTTTAAATGTTGATCTGCAATGACTCTTTTTGTGACTAACCTAGGGCCTGCCTCCTTTAACAGCCAAATTTTCTGCAGTTTTAGGATTGTTAAGAGATGCAGCCCAATTCTAAAGCAAGACATCTTGGTCTTATAGAAGCATTCAGAGATTGACTTTGCCTCATAGAAAAGTATATCACATCTTTTACTATAGAAAGAAATGAGATGGAAAGTTGTTTTCTGTTGTTATCCTCTCTATCATTATTTGTCTTATATGTCAAATGCATCAAATTATTTCAAGTTTCAGGAGAACTGAATTTTCCATCATACAATTATTGTACTTAGAAAACTGACAGTTCATGCAAACACCATCAGATAAAAACTGTTTTACTACTCAATTTGTTTTTTGGGAGGCAAAACATCCACTTACAGTAATTTTTATTGTTACCTATATTCTAGTATTGCAAGTACAATAAAACTTCAATGTAGTAGGAAGAGGCCTGAAGGTTTATCAAACCCCAGGTTTCTGTCCCCATCCCCATTTTTTTTCCTTTCTCTTCTGGGAGCTTCTGTCATGATCAGGTCCAACTGAGAGGACATTGAGTAGTCCATTCTGGATTGGCCTGGAGGAGCTCAAGAGAATTCAAGCACCTGAGGTTGATTTACCTGGAAGTTATCAGAAGCAGCTGTGCCTATTGTCAGAGAACACCTAGTTTTAAAGCATGCCACATGTAATGAGAACATACCAATGGTATTTGGCATGTCTCTTTGAATGTCAAGGGCATTTCCAATTTTGCTTAGTTTCACCAACATGGGATGTATTTAAAATACACTGATAGTCCGGTTTCCCTCATTGGAGGGAATTGCTCACCCACACTGAAATCTTGATATTTGTGTTCCTGAAACTCTGTCACTTTGAATCTGGGCCAACTGATGACTGTATTTTGTGGACCATGGCCTAACTATGATCCCACCCTTGATTCTGACTTTGGCTGTGGAAACTGCTTGCAGGTAAGCTTCCAAGTGATTGCCACTGCTGGGCAGATGGATTACAAATAAAATAATGAAATGAAATGAAATAAAATAAAATGGTAGAATGAGATATGTAAGGAACTATTATTGAGGATAGCAAAGTGTTTCAAATTCCAGAGGATTTAAACTCAGATTGCCAATTATGCTGTCAGGACATTTGCTTTGCATTCAACAGGATTTGTTTCAATCTTACTGGAAATGTTTTAAGCTTGAAATAGCTTGCCCTGCTTCTTTTTCTGTTCATTTTACAGAAACATGCACAATATTGTTATTATTCTATAGTTACCAGGTTACACAGATCAAATTTACATCAGATCATACATCATCCTATTTTTCTCTGTCTCTCTTACAAACCTAACTTATATAGTTGTCAAGCTTTACTCAGCAGCATACAAAGTTCACCAGATACTGATTGTCAGTTAAGCAGGTGTGACTCATGCCCAACTATTATATTGCTGTCTCTAGTTAGTTTTGTACCTTATATTGCTCAACTTAATTTTAATTTTATTTTTCCTTAGATAGTATATTATCTCACTACATTTTATTCATCTCCTGAATTTTAACTAATAATAGTTTACCTATGGTTTTTCTTAGTTATCAATTTTATGACAGCTTTATAACTTTTACCTTACCACTTTAATTCAATAGTCACTGTCCTCATAGATTGTAAGCAAATGAACTTCAATGTTGTAATTACTGGTTCCACAGTATCTTTTTAATTAATTGTATTTGTTAACCAAGCCAATCATGTGGCATTTGCCAGTGCTTGACAGCATAAAAATAAACCAGATATACAAGTAATAATAAAGTTGCACCACAAAATATAGATGTATGGAAGAACTTTCATGAACCAAAGTAACTAAGCTAAAAGTCATGGGAAAAAGGTTTTATGAATACCAATGAAGGGAAGATGTTTTCTGACCCTTCAAAAGTATATTCTATAATATGGGGGCTGCCATAGTAATATTGCTGATACAAGACAGAACAATGAACATATTATATTGTACTGTATAGTTCAAAATGGCGACACTTTGACCTCAGAATACTACCATAATGGTCAAAACATCCTTACCATATATAATTTAGAACAACCGTCTTGAAGTTGAAATGACTTATGAAATGTTTCACATATCCACTAAAGATTACTGCAGGTCTTGGTTCCTCTTGTTAACTTATAAAAAAAAAGTACTGTCATCTATCAAATGTTCTTTTAAAGATACTACTCTGCACTCTCCTCTAGCAAGAGATTGTATCCCCAAAATATTAAATGTGACTAAATCACAATCAAACCTTCTGCCTTTCCCCCCTTGCAGCTGCAATGCACAATTATTTAGGTCACAGCATTATGAGATCTATTCAACTACCTGCAAAAAATAACTTTTATAACTAGCTGCAGGAAAGAACATAGCGATGAAAGTTTTTCTTTTGTAACTTCCACCTTATCAGAAAATGAGAGAAGGCTATAGCTAAAAAATTCATGATAGCATGCTAACCTCAGTTTAAGAATTCATTGGAACTGGAGAGCTAACAGCTGGAAGCCTTGCTTTCTGTATCAGTTCCCCATTAAATAACAGGTGTTTCATGTTTCCATCAGTTTTTCTAATTCTGGTTACCATGTTTATTACATAAAGAGCTTTCATAAAAGAGACTTCATACTTTTATTGGAATTTAGATACAAATGTTGTGTTAAATGGCTTTCATTTTGCTGGATTCCTCCTGGAGTACTATAGTAGATGACAAGCTGGACTTGGATAGGGGATAAGGGACAGGGAGATAAGATTCAAATCTTTTCCACAAGCTCACAAGGTTCCCAGCCCAATTTATCTAACATGATTATTTCTGTGAGATAAAAATAGGAGAACTCCCCTCCCCAAAACCATACTGAGATCACAGAATATAGGTGAAATTAATCAAGTCTTCCAATAGAGAGTTTTCAATATTTATCAAGTTTTGTGCAACATTTCTTTTAGATATAGCCTTCAGGCAATGGTACAGATGATGCAACTTGCTCCTTTAAGTAGTAGATACTTACTACAATTTTCTTCATCACTGCCATCAGGACAATCCTCAAAACCATTGCATCGGAAACGGCCAATGATACAATGAATTCCACTGGAACATGGGAAGAAGGTGGACCCACATTTAGATTTTGCTTTTGCTGGGGGAAGAAGAAATGAAATCTTTATGATTATAAAACAAATCTGTAAAAATAGTCACAAACCTGACAAAGCTCAATAGAAATATTTTACAACCTGGCCAAGAGCTTGATATAATCTTTATTTCTGCTTGGTTGATCGATGATGTACAGTTCTGAAAACAGTTGTCACTGTAGAGTCTTTGGTGCTCTCTGAACTTGGTTGTTTGCTTGCAGACATTTCATTACCCAATTAAGTAACATCATCATTGCTAGTGAGTGTGGGACTTGCTCCCCATTGATATTCAGTAGCTTGCTGTGATGGTGTTGGTAGGGGTGTGGTTTTTCTCTTAGTAGTTCCTTGATTAGGGTATTGATTTCTGCACTTTTTTTGTCTGGTGGTTTATTCCTGCTTGTTAGACATGTGTCCTGGTCTTTTTGTTTTCTTGTTAGCATTTCTGTTGTCTCTTGAATGGGGTGTACATATGGTTTATCTTTATGTACTTATTGATGGCTGCTTTATTAGCCAATTATCAGCTGATTGATCAGATGATTTGTATCAACAGAATGCCAAGTTTATAGGAAGTCCCTAGAGTTTTTGGATTTAGTTTGATTTAGAATGCTCACAGTGTCTAGTTACTCCACATTCAGTAGCATTGATGATGTTATCTAATTGGGTAATGAAATACCTGCAAGCAAACAACTGTAAGAATGTTTGTATCTTATTATTTGATCTTACAAAATTTTCAGTTCATATAAACTAAGCATTCATGCATTACTAGCATTAATATATGAACTAGTTATTAGCAGACCATAAGTATTCTGATCTCCACGCTTGGTACTGCTTTCTAGTAAGTATGAGGAGAAGCCAACCTTTTTGTGAATTATACAGCTAAGAGAAAATACTCTGGCAACTGCATAGGAATCTTTGCCAGCTCTATACCTCCAAGAAAAAACTGGATCTACAATTCCAGCAGAATGTGTAGTTCAAGTCAGCAAAAGAAAAATACCCTCTGGCCATTCAAATTTCCAATGCCTGCCTTTCTATCATATGGGATATTTAGTGTGTGTGTGTGTGTGTGTGTGTGAAAGAGAGAGACAGGAGGGGGAGGCAGGGAGAGAGAGAAGGAGAAGGAGAGAGACAGTGTTTAATAAATCCCATTTCTATCTCGCCATAAACACACTTAAATTTTGTTCATTTTGCTTTTGCATGCAAAGCAACAATATTTACAATTCTTCATTGCAACATTTATTTTCTATGATATTTTTAGACTTCTGATTAACAGTAGTAATTCAAAGATAAAATTTGCACAGACCAATTCACAAATCTCCTGTTCCTTGAACAAGGCACATTAATGAATCACTATAAACATTTTATCTTTCCTGGAAGATGAATTCTCTAAAAAACAATATGCTAACATTTTATTGCTTGTTATCATTCCATAGTGTTTCAAACTCATATATTTCTCTAAGCTTCTGAACCAAGATTTATTTTGCAGAGCTTTTAGTTTCTTTGACTGGATCTTTTTAGCATAAACTCACTATTAGATATTAATCCACTTAGATAAATTGGATGTAATTGAATAATTGAGATTATCATTGCAAGTAAAGAAAGGTTAGAAATTGTGTATGCACATACTTAAACTCTCCAAAGCCATAATCAGAGAGCCAGTTTGCAGTCATGGCATTGAATACTGCAAAAGATCCAGAGCGTATTACATTGGCAAATGGTTTTCTCATGCCAATGATGCCCAAGATAATGAATATTTGGGAGTGATTCCATTTCATACACCAACACCTCCATTCAACCTATCCCTGTGGGATTCTATAAAGTTAATGACAGTAATTTTATGAGCCCTCAGGACTTAACATCCAGTATCAAACCATCATTGCAATGCTGAACTCACTCATGGTATTGTATTTTAGACATGATTCAGTCCTCAGATAAGAGGTTTTAGGATAGGATTGTGCTGAAGATTTTAAATTCCTTATCTGTCCAAACACTCATCTATTCAAATTTTTATTTATTGGGCATGGCCTTTGCCCAGCACTCTATCCAATGATAATGACACTTTGTACATTTTTATATACAAGGGGATATGACAACATTATGTACACAGGTGAAGCTGAGATATTTCTATAGGTTTTTTGGGGGAAGGGAAGTATATTTTTTACTAAACCAAGTTTAGGGTGCACATTGGTTTTTTTTCCCCCTGGTTTGGCATTCGCCATAGTTTTAGCAGTTTTGCCACTGAAATATTATGGCAGAGCCAGGGAGAATTTAGTAATTATAAAAAGAAAGTTCCGCTCTGTAAAATAGTACAGAATTTTATATGAACAAGCAGTTCATTATATAAAGGATGTTATGAAGTAGAAGCCAGAGCAACTCTTAGATTAAAAGGTAAAGGTAAAGGTTCCCCTCGCACATATGTGCTAGTTGTTCCCGACTCTAGGGGGTGGTGCTCATCTCCGTTTCAAAGCTGAAGAGCCAGCGCTGTCTGAAGACGTCTCCGTGGTCATGTGGCCAGCATGACTAAACGCCAAAGGTGCACGGAACACTGTTACCTTTCCACCAAAGGGGGTCCCTATTTTTCTACTTGCATTTTTTACATGCTTTTGAACTGCTAGGTTGGCAGAAGCTGGGACAAGTAACTGGAGCTCACCGTCCTACGCGGCACTAGGGATTTGAACTGCTGAACTGCCAACCTTTCGATCATGACTTAACAAAATGAAGAAACAAAAATCAAAAACCAAAACAAATAGTACGATTCTTTTATGGAAAACACTTATTATAAATGCATTAGCTGAGGCTTAGAACATCAAAAAAATATCAAATAAGTGCCACTAAATACCAAGTAATGTATCAAAATTTAGGGAGGGTCCACGGACAGCTTTAAAGAGACAGAAAATAAGCTATCAACATGGTACTAGTAGTGAAAAATGCTTAAAAGAAAACACATTTAAAAGCCTCTTCCAAATGATAAGAAAATAGAATTATGAATAAGAACATGTCTGTTACATTGAGCTTTGCTGCAGTCTTACTGTGTGTGCATTTGTGTGTGTGTGTGTATGTGTTTCTAGTCACTGACTCTTAGTGTCAGCAGGGTTTTAAACAAATCATTGTTCCAAGAGCCGACAAACCATCCAAGGCTCTATTCATACATTATCCCTTTTCTTAATAGGTTCATTTCTCAAATGTGGAATTCAAACATAAATCTCTCCTAGGAGCTATCCATCCTACTTTTCAGAAACAACCAAAGTACATATGCAAAGCAATATTGGGAAGAGAAAGTTTATTATTATTAGATTATTATAAATCTCAGGAGCAATAAATATATTTGCTGCTTGCTTCAGAAAAGGAAGCAGAATTTCATACTTCGTGGGATAAATTATTTATACATGAGTAAGCTTGTAAGAGGAAAGTAAGGGATAAAGGTGTTGAGACAGGAACCGAAAGTTTTTACACTAGGAGAAATCTTTATGTTAAAAATGGCTGAGTTGAAAATGGCTTAAAATCTGGAGTACAGGACCTGTACATAGCCCTTTAGCCCTTATTTATTTCTGTAGATGGATATTCTATATTCTTATCTGTAATAGGGAAACTAATTTAAAATTTCCTTGTGAGTATTCTGTTGAGCCAGCCAATTCCTGAATAAGGCATCAGTATTTTCAATGTCAAAATGTTCAGCCAATATCTGTAGGAGACTGACAAGGAAATTGTTAGACTGTTCCTAATTTACAATGGATAGTCTAATAAAGTAGCAAATAATAAATTAATACAGTGGTTGACTAAAGCAATGTATCAGTATTTTCGTATCAGTTATAGTGTTCTCATTCAACTCAATTCAACTTATTAACATGACATCATCTGATGGTTTAGAATTATTTTTTTAGACTTCTTGGTAGACCATCAAATCCAATAATGTTCTAAGGCAGCACTCCACTATCTGAACCCTCCAGCCTTAAACTTCAAAATCTGTACATCAAATATCTGGAGGTTGGAGAAAAGTTGCTTTGATAGATATTTTGGATTGGAATCATCATCAGTCACAGCCAACCCAGGAAGTCCGTGTGGGTTTATAATTGTAAAAATCTTGAAGGCATAAGGCTGTCTGTATTTGCCTAAGGATTCAGATACATGGCAGCTATACTTATCGTATTTTTCAAAGTATAAAACGCACCTACCTTTTTTGGTGAGGAAAAGAAGAAAAAGAAATCTGCCTCTGAGCAATTTTGTCTCATTGCAGCAAACAGCAAACAGCCTGCTTTACTTTCATTTTTGTTTTCAGCATAGCTTGATTAGCACGAGGAAAAAAAAAATCTGCTCCAGCAATTTATCTCTTTGCAGCAAGCAGCAGAGCCTGCGCAAAACAGCTGAAAGCAAATCAGCTCAGAGTCAGGAGGCTGATCCAATCAACTTGTGCTAATTAGGCTGTGCTGAAGCTGAAAGGAGCTGTTTTTTCTTGCTGTTTGCTTGCAAGGAGGTAACTGCTGCGAGGCAGAGGCCAAAGGGTGGGGGCCAGTGGGTGGGTGGGGCTACATTCGGTGAATAAGACACACCTAAATTTTCACCTACTTTTAGGGGGGGAAAGGTACGTCTTATACTCTGAAAAATACAGTATATGACTAGTACAGTTATGACTATGCACTGGCAGATTTATAACATAAGGGCAGAGACCATTAGGAGAAATGAGCAATAAAGTGATACTGTACTATCATTTACTGTCTTAGCATATCATACACTAAGGGAATAAAGAGAAAGACTAGTTCAAATACTATTATTATTTAATGCATTTTAATTCTACTTTCTAATCAAAAGCATATTGATTATAAGCAAACTATAAATAATTTAATAGTATATTTAAAACAACACACATACAACACAACACACAAGGAAAAAAGAGAGGACAAGAAAAACCAAATAAAAAATGCATTCAATATAAAAATAGAGAAAGCCTGTAAAAAAAGGATAGATTAATGGGAGAGCCAGAAAAAGACTTTCTATTTGTTAATTCAGATTTCTT